ATATATAAATATAAAAGTGGGGTTACAGGAATGCTTTTGTTTTCCATTCATCACAGAAATGGTACATAAGAGCATTCTCTCCGTTAAAAGGACACATTAGTGTCCATATGTGACCATTTCCTGACAAGTATGAGGGTATCACACCCACAGTCAGCTTTCAAATATTTACATTTACTGAAACACATTGTGACCACATCCAACGCACCTCTGTGTTTCCTGTGGCCCACTGTACCATCTCCTGAGATAAAGACAATTGCTGCCCCTGTGCAACATGAGGAGAAAACTCGCCTACTTTCACCTTAAGTCTAAGGCCTTCTGGAAAATTCCAAAAGTTGAGAATGTCATACTTTGCATCCAGTTTTATTTTCTTATCCAAATTCACATGGTATCCAGCAGGATTTTTAAACTGGATGCTCCTCAGAAAGGGGTGCAGCTGAAAGAGACATATCATGCTCTGGTGAAGCAGGTCTCAAGGAGAATATGGAGAAATTCATGGTGGAGAAGTTTTTCAATGTCTTTCCACCTTGTTTCCTGTTGAAACCTGGACACAGGCAGCCAGTGAAGTAGGACATATAAAACCTATGTTGCACTAAAGTATCACAATATTCCTAAAATGTCCGTCATTTTCAAGAAAAAATACCCCATCCAAATCCATCTAAGTAGACAGTATACATTAATGTTAGACAAAACTCAACTGTGAAGACAAAAGTTTCCAAACTCATTTTTCTCTGATTGTTCCCAGATTCCTTCAATAGCAAATGGAGTTTAAAGATTAAATGTGAAAATGTATCTAATGTATGCACTATGGTGTTTAGACCATTTAGATACATAAATACATTTTTTTCTATTTTCTTAAAAAATTCCAAGGACAAGACTTATATTTTTCTTCTTAAAGCAAGGATCTTGACTAGTTTTTATTTACTCTTTGCCAGTGAATGATTCCTTTTCCTTGATCACAGTTTCTACCCAGGAGGAGAAAACTAACCTCAATCATGGAACTGCATCTAATTCTACCACAAGTGACTAGAAACACGAGCAAGACTCAGACTTGGAAGCACGGGTACTTGGAAATGCATTGGGGGAAGACAAAGACCCAGACATGGAAAGACAACCTGACGGGGAAGCTGTCATTCATAAGGTGTCAGCATCAGGTGCCATTCATAAGTGGGGCGGGGATTCCCCTCGTTGCTGGTATTGTCAGGATCCAGCAAATTCAGCCTCCATGAACAGGCTCCAACCCCTCAAAGGAAGAGGCTGAGCTCCATTCTGCCAACTAGACTGCTGTGGTCACCACATTTCTAGGAAGCCACATGCCAGTGCTCACTTTTCTGTTTTCCAGTTTCAACAGGAGAAACAGCCAAGTGAGCAGATATTTCAGAACGCGATGCAAGATAAAACAAGAGTCAGAAGGCAGTTGCTGAGCTGAGGCCAGGGAACCCTGAGGAAAGAAGCTGCATGTGGCCCTGATTAAGGACCTAAACCAGATATCAAGAAAGCCCTGGCTCGGGGCTGGGGATTTAGCTCAGCGGCAAAGCGCCTGCCTGGCAAGCGCAAGGTCGTGAGTTCGGTTCCCGGTACCGGAAGAAAAGACCAAAAAAAAAAAAAAAAAGAACGCCCTGGCTCATTGAGCTACAGGGGTCAGAATTGGCTGTGGCTAGTGTGATCTGAAGAAGGGAAGTGGGGCTTTGGGACCCAGGAAGGATGTGAGGCAAGAATTGAAGCCCCCAGGGAAAGTGAAGAAAGACACTTCAGGGAAAGAGGTTGCAGGTGACACTTTCACCCAGACCCTAGACTCACTGCCTGGGAGGGGTGGTCAAACCTGCAGACCCATGGTGACTGCTAGCAACCCCAGAGGCCTCCGTGGAGAGATGCACCAGTGGAACACTGAATCTCTATGGCACTGTGATGCAGTGATGCAGCAGTCTGTTGGGGCTGGTGAGCTGTTCCAGTTTGGACATCTCATTGGAGAGGGCAATTGGCTGGGAGCCACCTTGCAGAGGGGCCAGCTGATCTCAGAATTCAGGAAAAATAGAGAGCTGAGCTGATCTCCAGGCAGCTTCAGCAACCTGGGTGACTGTGGCCTCACCCCTCCCCAACCGGTGTGGGAAGGGGGTTGGGTCCAGGGCAGTATCTGGAGCCTTGACTATGACCTGCCCCCCAACACCCTTGTGGAAGCCAGGCGGAACCCAGGACAGCTTTGGGAACACCACATGGGAACCAAGCTGAGCCCTGAACAGCTCTGGAAGCCATGGCGACTACACACCCAACCTCTCCCCAACTGGCATGGGACACAACTGAACCCCAGAAAGCTTTGGGAGCATCGGTAACCATGCCCTTCCCCATACACCATTGCGAGAGCCACATTGAACACCAAGGGCCTTCCAGTCCTTGTCCTGCCACTCCCACACCATCATGGGAGTGAGGCTGGGCTCCAGGGGAACTCTGGATCTTTGCAAATGACAAAACAAAGGAGGAAAATGCAATCTCAGACCCGCACCTTGCTAAGAACAAGTCCAGGAGACATAAAAACAGAAGAGCTTGGGAGCCAAACAGCTGGAGTTTCTGAAATGATAGTAACTAAAGTAAAGAAACAACTCCATCAGGCCATAGAAGATATCAGATCAGAAATAATCTCTCAGGTAAAAAAATGAAATGACAACAATAAAGAAAGAATTGCTCAGATCATCTAAAGAAAACATAGATAAGAAAATAGAGGGGGCTGGGGATTTAGCTCAGCGGCAAAAGCGCCTGCCTGGCAAGCGCAAGGTCATGAGTTCGGTTCCTGGTACCAGAGGAGAAAAAAAAAAAAAAAGAAAATAGAGAAGCATAGACAAATGCTGGAAACCTTGAATGAATAACATACAAAAGAATTAGAATGCATGAAGGAGATTCAAACAGATATCCAGGAAATTAAAAATTCCATCAGAAGCAGGCAAAACCACTTGAACAAAGCTGAAGATAGACTTTCAGACCTTGAAGACAGCATTGCAGCTAACGATTGTGAAAGGAAGGATCTCTTAAAATTAACAAGGAACCAGGAAATAACAATGCAACAGCTGCAAGAGGAAGCAAAGAAAAACAATATAAGATTAATAGGTGTCAATGAAACTGCAGGCATCAACACAAATAACACAAAAAGACTATTTGCAGAAGAAATACCAGAAAATTTCCCAAGCATGGAAAAAGAATTGGACATAAAGTTAAGTGAGGTATATAGAACTCCAATTAGCCATAACAAAAAAAATCTACATCCTGATATATAGTGATCAAGATCCTAGAAATTCAGAGGGGAAAACAGAACAGAATATTAAGAGCTGTTAAAGAAAAGAAACAGATCACCTTTAAAGGAAAGCCCATCAGAATCACAGCAGACTTTTCAACACAAACCATCAAGTCAAGAAGAGCTTGAAGTGATGTATTTCAGGTCCTGAAGGAAAACAACTTCCAACCCAAATTAATTTACCCTGTAAAACTATCCTTCAAAATCAATGGAGGAATAAAAGATTTCCACAATAAAGAAGAACTGAAGAAAATCATGAGTGCCAACCCAACCATACAAAGAGTACCAAAAGATATTCAAGAAAAAGATAAAAATTAACACAATTTAAAGAAAAACAGTAGAAAGGAATCACCAAGCAGAGCAACCAGTTAAACAGAGGGAAAAAGCATGAACCAATGGCAGGAAAGTAACATGACAAAGATAAGCTGATACATATCATTTATAACCATCAATGTAAACAGTCTCAATTCACCAATCAAAAGAGGTAGACTGGCCACAATTAGAGACTATACTCAAGTGAAATAAACAAGACCTCCATGTGTAAACAACATATTGTCTCAGCAGTGTAAGAACCTGAAAGAGTGAGATGAAATTAGGAGGTATGATAGACACTGTGAAATGAAAGGAAAATGCTCAAAAGTAAAGAGAAACTAGGATGAGGGAAAATAGAAAAGAAAGAAGGGGAAATTATTTACAGGATAGCTAACAGTTGCACTACTGACTTCTATCACTTTACTGAAAGGAACAGTTAATGATTATTTATCTGATCAATCTTGCATGTCTCTATTTGTTTTCCTGAGAGACCACTTTGAAGATATCAACACATAATACAACAACAATTGTTAATTTTCCACCACTTTGTCTGTAATTCAGTGTTGCTTGTATTGTTCTTATGCTATTTTGTAAGTGGATGTCTGTTTGTTAATATGTTTTACTTCCTTTATTTTTAAAATAATTTTTTAAAAGAGGTAGACTGGCAGAGTGGATGAAGAAATAAAATCTAGTGCTATACTATATACAACAAGTACATTTAACTCAAAAGGAAATTCATGGACTGAAAATCAAAGGATGGAAAACAATATTCCATGGAACAGGACCCAGAAAAAAGAGGGAGTAGCTATTCTGTTTGCAGACAATGTGAATTTCAAACCAAGAGTGATCAAAAAAGATAAAGACAATCACTACATACGTGGTAGGGGAAAACTTCAAGATGAAGAGATAACAATCATAAATATCTATGCATCAGATACATGAGCACCCAACCATATAAGACAAATTTTAGCAGACATGAAAAATGAAATAAGCAATACAACAATTATAACACGAGACTTTAAAACCCACCTGTCACAAAGGGATAGATCAACTAGACAAAAAAATCAGCAAAGAAATAACAAAACTGAACCAAACTTGTGAACAAATGGATTTAGTTAGACCTTTACAGAGTATTACACCCAACAACATCAGAATACACATTCTTCATAGCTGCACATGAGGCATTCTCTAAAATACAACACATACTAGCACATAGAACATGCTTCAGTAAATGCCAAGGAATTGAAATTATTCCATGCATACTGTGGACCACAGTGAGATGAAACTGGAAATTAATGAAAAAGGAAATCATAAAAACTCCATAAACACATGGAAATTAAACAAAACCCTGCTGATCATCCAAAGGGTCACAGATGAAATTAAAATAATATGTACAATCAAATTAAAATGCAGACACAACTTACAGGAATCTGTGAGATGCAATGAAAGCAGTCCTCAGAGAGCAATTTGTAGTGGTGAATTCCAACATCAGGAAAACAGAATGAGCACAAATAAACAATCTCTTTTGCTGCAACTCAAGCTTCTAGAAAAACAGCAAGTCAAGA